TAGGGTAGAATAGAGAAAGATTTATTTAACTGGTTTAAATCTGAAACAGAGAAAAACCAGGAAGGGACTAAGTTTAGCTGCATATTATTTAGAAATGCCCTTGGCTACAAGTAAGAGAAAAAAACTTATTGTCCGAGACTTAAATCATAAGATATTTATTAGGTACTTAAGAAGAAGCCTTGAAATCTAGGTGGCCTGTATGGTCTGGTTTCCCAGTGATGTCATCAAAGATATAGGCTCATTTTGTCTTTTTTTTTTTTTTTTTTGCTTATTTCCATTTTTATTTTATTTTTTAAAATTTATTTATTTTAATTAGTTTCAAGTACACAGTACATTGGATAGACATCTGTATAGTTTGTAAAACTGTCCCAATTGCGTTCTCCCTCCCCTGACCCTCCACCTAGCCAATATTTTAATGCTAACTACATTCCCTATGCCGTGCTCCCATCCCCTTGACCATCCATTGGCTACTAATTTATACTTCTTTAATCCTTCACCCCATTCTCCCAGTCCCCCAAACTCCCTCCCCTCTGTCTGTCACCAAATTATCCACTATATTTGTGAGTCTGTTTTTGATTAGTTTGTTCTTTTTATTCCTTAGATTCTGCATATAAGTGAAATCATATAGTATTTATCTTTCTCTGTCTGACTTAAATACCTTCTAGGTCCATCAAAGCAATATCTTTTTCCATCCCCTTCCTTTTAGTCTCTGTGTGTCTTTTAATATGAAGTGAGTTTTTTTGTATTTTTTCTTCTTAAAGAAGTCCTTCCAACATTTCCTGTAATACTGGCTTGGTGGTGATAAATTCCTTTAGCTTATTTTTGTCTGGGAAGCATTTTATCTGTCCTAACCTCTAAATGATAGTTTTGCTGGATAAAGTATCCTTGATTGTAGATTCTGGGTCTTCATCTTGTCGAATATTTTTTTGCCAAGCCCTCTGTTCTGCATAGTTTCTTTTGAGAAATCAGCTGCTAGTCTTATGGATGTTCCCTTATAAGCAATTATCTGTTTTTCTCTTGCTGCTTTTAATATTCTTTCTTTGTATTTAACCTTTGGCATTTTAATTATGATGTGTCTTGGTGTGGGCCTCTTTGGATCCCTGATTTTTGGAATTCTCTGAGCTTCCTGGGGTTTATGTCCATTTCCTTCACCAAGTTAGGAGAGTTTTCTATCATGATTTCTTCAAACAGCTGTTTAATATCTTAATTTTCTTCAGTAACACTGATCAGACAGATATTTGGACCCTTAATAGTGTCCCATATGCTCCTTATTTTTATAGTCTTGGCATCTCATCTCTTGCCATTCTGATGGTGTATCCTTGGCTTTCTCATCCTCTAGATAGGGCGTTTGATCCTTTTCTTTATTCACTTTGTTTATTCCATTTAATATACTTCTCATCTCAGATAATGTGTTCTTCATTTCAGACTGGTTCCCTTTTATAATTTCCATTTCCATTTTTATGTTTTTTATCTCTTTGCTGAATTTATCTACACTTCCCAAAAGTTCATTGAACATCGTTATAAACAGTGTTTTGAACTCTGCATCTGTTAGATTACTTGACTCCATTATATCTGGATCTCTATTCTGTTCTCTCATATGGTTTCTGCTTCTTTGTCTTCCCATTTTGGCTGCCTTTCTGTGTCTGTTTCTATGTACTAAGCAAAGCTCTGAAGTCTTCCGGTCTCATTAGTATGGATTTGTGAAGTAGGTGTCCAGTGGCACAGTCCTGAGAGAGGTTCAGCTGAAGGCCAAATTTAGCCCAAGCCTCTACCCCTCCGGAGCCACCTGTTAAGATTCAACAAGTAATTCACAGATGCTGTGCTTATAGTTGCCTCCAAAGGCCACACGAGAAACCGAGGCCAGCTGCCTCCAGTGTGAGTCTAGGCGCTGCTCAGCAAGGAGCACCTGACTTGCTGAGGATATACGTGGATGTAGCTTGGGTGGGGCTGCGAGTTGGGAGAGGTGGGGTTTCAGGGAATCCTCTGGGCAGAGTGACCTCTGTTATCCAGTTTGATGACATCACAGCTATGGCGGTGCACTGGTAGTGGGGAGGGCTCAACAGGGAACAGTGGATACTGCTGGAACTTCTGTGCAGAGCAAGTCTCGCCTTGGCTCTCGTTCTGACAATGTCTCCCTGTACGTCCTTGGTGCCCCCTGCACGCAGGCAAATTGGCATTGGTGCTCAGAGCGAGCAGGTCCGTCACTACGAAAATCCTCTCGCAGACGCGGCCCCTTTAAGAGGCTTCTGCTGCTCAAACAGCCTCGGTCTCACTCAGCTGCTGGAGACCACGTTGCCCCACGTCCTTGTCCCATCCTACCTTCTGCCATTGTAGGGTGATTTCTTGGATTTCTCCCTAGTTGTATGGCTTGTTTATCTAGATCTCAGGTGATTTTTCCTTGTTGCCGCCCCTTGTTTCCGTCACAACTTTGATTTGGTCATCAGAGGGATGAACAGAGCATCTAACATCTACACCATTTTTTTTCATCCCCCTTATTTTGTCTTTATGCACTACCATTCTTAGTAGTGCTGGATTTTTTTCATCATGCTTTTCATCATATGGTCACAAGATAACTGTTGAAGTTCCAAGCATCATGTCCATATTTAAGACACGAAAAAGAAGAAACTCTCTTGTTGCCTTCCCCTTTTAGAAGGAAGGAAACATTTTATTACATGGTTCTTAGGAGACTTTCTTCCACTCATGTCTCACTGGCCACAACTGGGCCAGCTACAAGTGTATTTCAGAAGTAAAGGGGATTATCATGCTGATCCAAGTCCTAACAATAAGCCATCACTTCCCTCCTAACTCAACAGTAAACATTATCCTGAATTTTGTATTTATTAATTTCCATTCTTTCTTCCTTCCTCTTACGGTTTTTATAAATACCGAGGAAATGCGAAAGTATATTTATGAAATATTTATTGACTATATAAAATAAAATTTCACAAACACTGGTAAACTTTTCACTCTCTTTAAGAAATGGAATATGACCTTTATATTTGAAGCCTCCGATAGGCCCCTCCCTGAATATAACACATTTCCTTCCCCTTACCCCAGTGGTAACCCCTATTCTACCTTTATTAAAAAGAAAAAAAATTTTATCAGGGACCTTTTCAAACATGTGCCAAAGTAGAGAGAAGAGCTTTGACAATTATCAACATACGGCTAACTTCATTTTATTTAATCCCTCTCCCCCAAGGATTATTTTAAAACAAGTTTCAGACATCATATAGTTTCATCTGTAAATATACCAGTATGTACCTCTAATAGATAGGGATTATTTTTATTAACATGACCACAATACCATTCTCATCTTTAAAAGACTAACAATTCCTTAATATCACCTAATATCTATTTGGTGTTTTAAAAAAAATATCCAATTGATTCACAAATGCCATAATTTAAAAGTATTTATAGTTCATTTAAATAAGGTTCACATTTAGCAATTAGTTAAAAAGTCTCTTAAGTTTCTTTTAATATATGAGTCCTCCCTCCCTTTTTTCTTGCAATTTGTTTGGTGAAGAAATTGGTCATTGGTCCTGAGAGTTTGCCATAGTCAGAATTTTGCTGATTACATTTCTTGATACCAGTTAACAGGTTCCTCTGTTTTATGTATTTCTTGTAAACTGATATTTGATTTGTCTTCATGTGATTACTTCTTAGGTTGTTCAATAACTTCTTTAAACATCAAACGCCATAGTCTTTTTCTATTTCTTTTCTTTCTTGATCTCACTGCAGCACTTGATATTGTTAAATCTGACACTGAACACTTCTTCCTTTGTGAAATTCTCTCCTTTATTATTTAAAAATTAAAAATTTTTTCAATTACAGTTGGCATTTAATATTATATTAGTTTCAGCATAGTGGTTAGACATTTTTATAACTTATGAAATGATCCCCTGATAAGTCTAGTACCCACCTGGCATCATACTTAGTTATTACAATATTATTGACTATATTCCCTATACTGTAACTTTACATGCCTATGACTATTTTATAGTTGCCAATTTGTATTTCTTAATCCCTTTGCCTTTTTCACCCGGCCCCGCAAATCCCTTCCCATATGGCAACCATCAGTTTGTTCTCTGTATCCAACTCACATTATTTTTTGAGCTTGAAGGGTCACACATCAATTCTTAAATGCTTCTTTCTGGAAGTGGCACATGTCATCGCTACTCATAGCCTATTGGTTAGAACATGACTCTACCTGACTGCATCAAGGTAGAGAAATGTGGGGGCAAAATATGTTATTTGGTGAACAGTTTGTTCCTTCATATGGTTCTTTGATTTTAATGTGTACATTCCATTTTCTACCTCCTGAACGTCTTTATATTTAGATTACATGGTTTGTCGAAACATTGTGTCATGGATCTATCAACTATTGATACAGAGTGGCCAGCACTTTGGACTGATACCTGTTTTTGTGGAATATTCAGAAATTATACCAAGATCCCATATTATACCTAATAGCTTAAACATATTATCTCAGAGGTGGTGTTTGGGAGATTTTCCCCTCGGAGTAATATCTTTTACTTGCACACAAGCCATTGGTTCCATTTCTACTTGCTGACATTATCCTGTGAGATCTTTGACAATAGTGATTTCTAAGTGTTATCTTCAGACCACCTGTATTACAATCAACTGGACAGTTTGTAAAAAGTACTGATTCTGGGAACCACTCCAAACCTTCTGAAACAGAATTTCTTGAGTTGGGACCCGGGAAGCTGCATTTTAACAAGCTCCCTAGGTGATTCTAAGGTGTGCTAAAATTTTAGAACTATTGTTCTGTAGTGTATGGATGGCATTTACCACCTTATATATAGTATTATTTAATCTCTTTATATACATGTCTCACTTCCCCAACTAGTTAAGGTTTTCTAGAGAAAGGTTTATACCTTAGGTAGATGGCAATCGTATTTTCCAGATTAAAAAAATTGGGACGGGAGTGGTAGTAGGTTAGTCCTGATTTCAAATAATAATAACTGCTACCATTTATGGAGTGCTGATTATGTGTCCAGACTATTCTCATGATAACTCTAAAGTAGACATTTAAAATAAACAGTTTGTAAATGAGGATTCTGAGGCTTAGAGAAGTTAAATAAATAGCTCAAAGGCACAGAACTAGAAATTGCAGAACTGAATTTGCACTCAGGCATGACTGTCTCCAAAGTCCACACCCTTCTCACCACCTTCTACTGTTGCCTGACCTTTACTCGTCAGTGCTCTGGTTTGAGATTCAAGAGATAAGGTCACTCCACTCTCTTTACTTTGAGTCCTCTGCATCTCATACTCAGCAGGTGCTCAATCCTTGCATGTAGCTGGTGCTATTTCACTACACTAAAGAGTTAATAAAAAATTTAGATGAAGAGTCTTAGCTATTGAAGAGGCTTTTGAAAGAGAATGGCGAAAAAATTTAAATACTCCAGTAACTCAAGTACTTCCACCTATTGTAAGTTGGCTTCTCTGAGTTAGCGAGAGGAATTTGGGTAGGAAACAGTTTATCAAAAATCTCGCCTAGCTCTCCCTATGGCTTGCATCATGGGTACAGTCAAATTGAGTAATATCAAAACAAACATTTAAAAAGAAAAAAAAGAGTCCTGTTCGTTGAGTGTATGAGCTAAAGAGAAGGACCTGCCTCCAGCCACACATCCCTGCTTCTGATCCCAAGGTTGATTTGTCTTGCAGTCTAGGCTTGTTCTCTTGTGCGTCCGGTATCAAATATATGAGTTTAAGTGACTATCTTATTCTGCCTGACTCCTTTTGAGCTCATGTGATTAGTTACTTGTTCCAGATTACTTGAAGGGGCTGAGTTGGGTGTCAGCGTATTGGCTGAATAAGCAGTGGTGCCCAGCAGCAGTGGACTTTCTCCTAACTCCTCTTCACTGGGAAGGCCACCTCCTGTTCCTGCACTGTCCCAGTCCTTGAAGCAGAGGAGGTACTGGACTCTCATTAACTGATTTACTCCTGACACCCAGTCAGAGAGGCAGAGCCTCAAAGATTGTTGCTCCTAGAGGGATTGAAAGTACACTAATGCTCAGGAATGAAAAGATTTTAAGTCAAAGTTCTTGCTCATCGTTGTAGAGATACCTCTGATTTACCATTCGTTTTAAACCAAACAGTCCATCCGAACTTAAGCTATTCTTCTTTCCCAGGGTGAGATAATCATAACAAGGCCTTTTAGAAAATGTCCCAAACATAGGCTCACACTTTGATCTCCTTCTCAAGGTGAGACAATTGGAAATAGAACCTTAAGACACCTATATATTCCTCATAATAAACCTCTAAATTATCTTATTTCCATTGTCATGTCAAATCTTTGGATCACCTTCAGCCATTTTTATGATTTTTGTTTTTAAACATCTTTCACAGGTATTGATCCCAGGAATGGAATCCCAAAGTTAACTCCAGGAGATAATCCATATATGTACGCAGAACAGAGTAAGGGCTTCTACAAAGCAGGATCAACTCTCCCACCTGTGAATTTTTCAATGTAAGTATATGTTAATACTAGGTTTATTTAGTTAACTTTAAAGGAATTGTATTTTTCTCTACTACGTATAAATTATATTTTATAAAGAGTAGATCACAAGATGACATAGTTGGTGAAAATTTCTAAAAAGTCCATATTTAATTCATTAGTGTATGCACACATGTACATGTATAATTAAAATTATACACAAGATCTTGACAATCACAAAAAAGTGATTGTTAATTTTATTCCTATTGTTATTACACAAATCTGAAGACTTCGATTTTCATACCAAATCAGGTTGTTGATTAGTGACTACTATTTGGGTTGACTTACACTTGGAATTAAACTTAAACCAAAGTGACTGAGGAGAAAGAGAAGTTCATTAAATTAAAAGAAAAGTCATTGGTGTGTTACATTAAAAATACTAATGAAAAAATTAACCACATTTGATTTAATGACGTTTACTAAAAGTGATAAAAATAATAAGAATTATGGCCCTGATGGTTTTGAAGCCCATACTTGACAATTAAAATGAGAAAATAAGACATTTTAGTGAACACAGTGATATATTGATCTCTTTGCTGTAGAAGCCAAGCCAATTTTATGATTAACTTTTCTGTTTTTCAGGGTACCTTATGAAAAGAAATTTGATACATTTATTCCACTTGAGCCTCTTCCACAAATTCCCACGTGAGTTATCTCACCATGTTTTAAATTATGCTATCTTTATAAAAATATCAAGTATTTATTATTTTCTTCTATAGAGGAACTCATAGACACCCAATACACAGGGAGTTTTGAATACCAGCAGGTAGGCAGGGCAGTATGTATGGAGGGTTTTTGTTGAGACACTTAGAAGCAATTGTCTGTGGAGTCTGGCAGCTGGGCTGCTCATGTCTTTAACAGTTATTATTGACAGACTACCAGATGCCATGTGGTGTGCTAGGTATGCACTAAAGGGGGAGGTTATATGGAGCAAAAGGACAGACCCTCTGATTTCCAAAACATAAGGGTTTGTTGGAAAAGAAAGACACATCCAGGAAGGATGGTTAATGTTTGAAGAGGCAGAGTGAAAGCCATTGGAGTATTCCTGTATTTGAAGGAGGCATCATTCCTTTGAGTTCATATTTTTGATCAGTTTCACTCTGAACCTCATTTGTCCAAGTAGTGTCGTAACCTAGAAAGAAATATGTGTCAGTATATTGCTCTTTGTCCTGCTCTTCTTACCCGGGCTTCTACCATTGGTTTGTCAGCTTTAAATGATAACCTTGCCTCCCTTCTGTTACCTAAATGATGGTCCTCCTCTTCCTTCTTATAGGGTCTTTCAGCAAGTTTATCAGGGCTTTTTCCCAGTCATGGTACATTTCTCCCTAAAAGAATAAAAGATCTAACTGCTAAAACATAAAAACATTCTTCATCTCCCTGCTCTGACTCATCCCAGGAATCACACTGCCTGGTACTTTTTGGAACACACACAGTGAAACCCAGCATATGCCATTTCAAATCTCAACAGACCCGGGAAGACACTGGGTATCTGCATTAGCTGAGGTCCCAGCAGAAGACAGAAGGCACATTCAGCTGGGATTCTGAAGACAGTTCAATAAGGGACTATTTACAGATGTGTGGGCAGGTTGAGAAGACTCACATGGAGGGTGAAGCACCCAGAGGCACCTGATAGTGGGAAGTCCTTACTACTCCTAGGTCTGAGCAGCAGGAGAAGGGATCATGGTTCACAGAGCAGTGGGAGATGAAGGGCTGTTGTCAGTGGAGAACGCAGCCACTGCTAGAACTGGGATACTCCACGAGACAGGGCACACAGGAAATACCCTCTCTCTTCTCACCTTCCGATCTCCTGTTGGTGCCTCCCAATAGCCAAACCCAGCTCAAAGGTGGGGGCAGGGAGGAGTCAAGGTGATGTCAGCTACAGGGGTCATCTTCCTGGGCAGAGAAAGGCAGAAAAACGATCTGGGTTTGGGGCAGGGGCGAATGGTGAACAACTAACTTGGTGTTTTATTTTGACACTGATCTTCTAAACTGGAGGTCTTCTTACTTTTGAAGGATATAGTGCCTTGTCCACTGACAGTGTTTGTAAATTTTGCATCAGACAAACTCAAACTCAGGGTGTTTCCTTCCTACAGCTTGCCTTTCTGGGTGAAGGAGAAGGCCCACAAACTGAAGAATGAGATAAGAGAAGTTGAGGAGCTTAACAATTGGCGACCAGCGGTCCCCTTGATACACAGTTTATTTCCTGCTGGTGGGTTAAAGAACCTTCAAAAAATTGCATAAAAACTGGAGGCGAGCCCAGAAAAGCAGGCTTTTGAGAGGCTTCATCATGGAGAGGAGAGAAGGCAGAGCCTCCCCCAGAGTGGATAGTGTCTTTTGCCCAAGGTGGTTCCTTGGGCAGATGTCATGGCTGCACGTCATGGGTCAAGTATGCTGGTTGAGAACTCTTGGTCTTGTAATGGAACTCAACTTTTAATTCCGTGCCTCTATCCACAGGTTCTTTGGACTTTTCAAGACAATCTTGAGCAGAAGCAGGCCCAGAGAGCATGCACTGACCACACTCTGGAGAGCTTCTTCCAGTTGATTGCTTCTGTCAGTGCGACTAAATCAAATGTTTGACTTTGATGTAGAATCACTGTGTTTTGCTTTTTTTTTTAATATTACATTTTGAAAACTTTCAAACTTACAGAAGTCGTGAGATTTGTACAATGAAAGAATACCTGTATATCCTTCACCTAGATTCTACGACCGTTAACATCTGCCTAAAATTGTGCTCTGCTCTCATATTATTCATATTATTACTATTATTATTTTGCTGATTTATGCGGGAGTGAGTGCAGACGTCATAACCCTTTACTCCTACATACCTAAATACTTTGGAACGTGTCTCCTAAGGTCAAGGATATTCAACAATCACAATACAAGTATCAAATTCGGAGAATTTAACATTGATATAATACTCCTATACAGCCCACAATCAGTATTATTCAGTTAAATTTGATTTTCTAAGGATGCTGACAATTCAGTGGTAAAATGCAGACATGTGAGCTTTCATTAATTTTGGTAAAACTATTCTCATTTTGTTAATTCCTTTTAAGATTTTCTCTTCTATTCACTTAATACATGTCAGCAAAAATGTGAACGCTACATCTCCACGAGGTAATCAATACTGTTGCCCAGTAGCTCCATGCCCCCATTTCAGTATTGTCTGTCTACACAGCCAAGCAGGGTGACAGCTCAGTGAGCACCAATCATGAGTCTTAAGATCTCTCATCAATCAGGTGAGAAGCAAACATTTGGAGGAAAAGGTGGGAACAAAAGCCAACCCTCTACAGTCAGGCTATGACTCCCAGCAGTCAAACCAATGACTCTGCATTTTCATAGCCAATCTCCTTTCCACTATGGAGACCCCACTGGTTGGCTAATGAGAGGTACAGATCTGGTCCCTCCAAAACCTTTAAATGGAAAGAGAGAATTAGGGCCTATGCTAAGACTCAAAGTGGCCAAGACATGAGACATGCTTTCTTTCCCTGTCAAAACATTACCTCCAAACTGCTCCAAAGTGAATGAAGCAGGCTTAGGACATGGTACATTTACGCTCTCTTCATACATGCCTTCAGATGAACTAGGAGAGAACGCGTGGCTACTGCAGGCAACTGCGCCCAGCCACTCCTTCTGTTAACATCAGCATACCTCTGTGATAATTATCTTGCCCCTAGGACACAAGACCCACCCCGCTCCCCAGCAAAATCCAGGAAAGAAAATAAAACCAAATAATTTAGAAAAGGAAAAAAAGAGGTTGCCAACAGATTTTCTCAAATATGTTAACTTCTGGAAAAAAAAATTTTTTTGTGCTGCTATTACTTAAAACGTAAAAATGTCAACTGCAACCACCTGTGTGAGTGATTAATGGAGAATGCAATACAGACGAAAAAGGTTTTGCAGGAATTTCCAGATGAGATTATCTAGGTGGAACAGGAAATTGCTCTCTGCAGGTACTCTGGTGTTTGGAGGGGAGGAGTCCTACATAGTAAAAGTATTATGAAAAACAACCAAAAAAAAAAATATGGTTTCAGAAGATTTACAGTAGTCTTTAGATTTCAGAGAAGTCTATATAATTTCTAGATGCTGCTCTATACCTGAGTAGATATCATTTAAAATATTATTAAATGATTACATTTCTGAAGTTGCAGGACCACATTCTATTTCCTGGAAATGGGCAGTTTTCACTGGATTTGGGGTTCTCTGTGGGCACATCTCAGCATCCAGGGCTTATTCCATGGCACTCCTAACAGCTGGCAGGTGAAGCGTTCAATCACTAACTTTGGGCAGGCATTGTGTGCACACTCGTGTGTTTGGGGGGAACTAAGGCATAGACAGATGGGAAATGGGAAAAATATGAGTGTTATAGCTGTTCCAGCCCTTTCTTCTTTCTAGGCACGGAGAAGTCGAACCCATTAGATATGAAGATCCCCTTCACCTCACTTTAGATTCTTTGGATATTAAAAAGCACAGGTGTGCGTGCATGTGTGTGTTCATTTCTTACTTTCAATAACTAAAGTTTACAGGTTTAACAGAAACAACCCATACACAACATTTACAAATAAATTTCTTAGAGTACCAACTTCCATTGCACATAAGGCACTCTAATATCAGATCCTGGGGAAAATGAAAAATGTCCTCTGTGGACTAGAGGGAAAATTATGTTATACAGCTAGTGGTACTAAAGTCCAAATAAGCTAAATGAAGGCAATTCCAAGACCTTTATGCAGTCTCTGCACTATAAGTTATCAAAATATTAAGATATTAGTGTATTAAACTTTTAGAATTCCACGAATGACTTAGGAATGTTCTGTATGATTCCATTGCTTGTCTACATTTCTAGTACGTGGCACTCAGTGTGGTTAGACTGTTTCCTTTTGCTCTTAGGCATTTGGCCCACCAAAAGTAGGTAAAAGCCTCGTTTATAGAATTTGACTTGGTGAAGTATTTTAGAGTTGGAACTTTTCAAGATCATGGCACTGGCCTAGAGAGGCTTTTCTTTCCTGGCTGGAAAATCAGGAGAGTAAAACCTCGGCTATGTGCCAGATGTGGGATGGTGCACCTTTTGGGAGGCTACTGGCCAAGTTCCCAGTGCGCTCTGGGAAAGGACATGGGAGCCTGTTTGAGTTGCCTGGTGTCCTTTCAATGCTGGGAAACTCCAGGAGAGTTATAGCTTGAGCCCAGCCTGGGAGATAGGGCAGCCACTACTGACACGAGGAGCCAACACCAAAGCTTCCAAACCTGGACTTTGTAAGAAATATATACATGATAATTAAACATTTCTTGTTCTTATAGGGATCCAGCCTCATATCAAATAAGAAGCCAAATACCACAATGGCCTAGTTTTCTGAGGAAATGTGTCTGCCTCCACCAAATATGGAGAGGGTGTGAGAGCAGCTTCCAGTGGTGATGGTGTGAGTATAGGTATGATCATCTGGCAAGACATGCGTTCTTTTGGTTGGGTGCAGTGTGGGCTGGAGTGGAAATTGGGGTTCTCTTAGGAAAGAATGGATGCATGAGGCATAATTATACTAAAATTTATTTGTTGTTTATCTGAAATTCTAATTTAACTGGGAGTTCTGTATTTTTACCTGCTAAATTTGGCAACTTACAGCACGAGTGGCACAAAGAAGAGAGATTTGAGGGCTAACTAGGAGGTAAAAGTGGCAAGACTTCATGGGATGGTTTAAATATGGGTGGGAAAAGCTATGGGAGAAAAAGTGGCCACAAGGTGGATGGTGGTATTGTTGACAGTAGAGTCATATAGAGTCAACATGTAGAGTCTAGCTCACGTGGCATCTATATACCTCCTGCTGGCCACAGGATGTGTCACCTGGTGAGCAGTGTGCAAGCTGGATTTCAGCTCTTTTTGTCCCTTGTGCAGTGAGCTACTTATACAACTGTACATGGCAGCTGGCAGCCAGCAACCTTATGCTATTTACTGAAATAAGGAATCCTGTGGAGAAATATAGATTTTTTTGGGGGGGAGTGCCATTTTGGGAAGTTGAGATGGAGGAATCTGTGACACACATGGAGAGAACTGTCCAAGATGTAGTTGGACATTTGAGTCTGGGGTCTGGTATATGCATGTGAAAAAAAAAAGTCTCTTGTGAGAAATATAAATCCCAAGCCTGTGCCATGTGGATGCAGGATATAGATGTAAATTATCTGATTGGAATATCATTCTCAAACTGAGAAATGAGCTCAAAAACAAAAACAAAAACAAAACAAAAAAACCACACACACACACACACACACACACACACACACACACACACACACACAAAACCTCTTGAACCTCTGGGAACTGAGAAGAAACAAATTCTTGTTGGGAACACTTCTCCACCTCAGGACACAGGGGACTCCCTAGAAATAATACCCATGAAGGTGAGCTTCTGAGAAAAAAATTACAAACTACAATTGGACCCAGCTCAAGGAAGTCTCAGGAGGTGAACCTCAAGCCAATTAATATGATTAACCATGGTTAGCAATACTACACGGATTACCAGCATTTAGGGTGCTTGGAATTCCATTTTGTAGTAACTTGACACTCAGACTTTACTTTTTCCTAACACTAGCTTCGGAGGGAGGGGCTTAAAGGCGGCTATCTGGTAGGTGGGGCGGGACTAGAAGACTTGGTTTTGAAATTGTATTTGCAAAGCAGCACAGTGTTTCTACTTAAATCCCATCTGTTTATTTGGAGAGACGATAAAGATTATGCGGGCGGCGAACCCCAGCCCTTTGACGTGACTTGTTGTCACAGGCTTTTAACGCTAATTTTAGCCCCATCCTGGCAAAAAATGGGACGAGAGGGATCTAGAATTTTGATTGTTTTCTTGACTAAGCAAAGTTAGTCCTGTTAGAACCAACTCCCTCAAAAGGGATGTGGAATGGGAAAGTGGGGGATAATGCAACCTATACAACCGTCCTACTAACATCTTTTGTTACCCCCTTGTGAGCTGAATGGACCTCCAACCTCTTTTCCCTGGGCCAGAATTTCCCAACTTGTGTTTCTTGTGTATCAGTATATATTATAAGAAAAAATGTTTCCAATCTCAAATTAGTTTGGAAATGCTATGTTAAAAAGAGTGTATTAGTTTCCTAGGGCTGCCATAACAAAGTACCACAAAGTAGGTGGCCTCAAACAGGAGAAATTTATTCTCTCACAGTTTTGGAGGCAGGAAGTCTGAAATCAAGGTGTCAGCAAGGTCGGTTCCTTTTTGGAGTCTCAAAGGAAGAATATAGTCCATGTCTCTCGGCTTCTGGTGTTGCCGGCAATTCTTGGTGTTGCCGACAATCTTTAGTGTTTCTTGGCTTCTACATTCATCACTCCAACCTCTGCCTCTTCCTTCACATACTCTTCTCCTTGTGTGTGCATGTCTCTTCTCCTTGTAAGGACACTGGTCATTGGATTAGAGCCTATTCTATTCCAGTATGACTTCATTTTAACTTCTTGATTATATCTGCAAAGACTCTATTTCCAAATAAGGTTATATTTATAGGTACCAGGGATTAGGACTATATTTATAGGTACCAGGGATTATCTGGTTGGGGGATACAAGTCAACTCACAACAGGAAACAATTGATTTCTTCATCTTACAACTTCTTATAGCTTTACTTTGTTTTAAATGCCAGTTTATTTTTTCATACTATATATACATAATTTTTTTTTTTAACATTTTACTTTTTTATTTCCCCCTACTCCCCACTCCCTTCTGGTAACCAGTAGTCCATTGTCTATGTCCATGAGTCTCTGTTTGTCCTGTTCATTTGGTGCTTTTAGGTTTATATCGCACAAATGTGATATCATGTGATTTCCAACCTTTTCTGTCTGGCTTATTTCACTCAGTATGATTATTTCAAGGTCCATCCATGTTGTTGCAAATGGCAGTATTTCACCTCTTCTTATGGCTGAGTAATATTCCATTGTATTTATGTACCACAGCTTCTTTAGCCGATCATTTATTGTAGGATACTTCAGTTGCTTCTATGTCCTGGCCACTGTGAATAATGCTGCTATGAATATCGGTGTGCAAATATCTTTTCAAATATGTGTTTTCAAGTCTTTGGGGTAAATATTCAGTAGAAAGACTACTGGATCATATGGTAGGTCAAGTCTTAGTTTTTTGAAGAACCTCCATACTGCTTTCCATAGTGGCCGTACCAATTTGCAGTCCCACCAGCAGTGTATGAGGGTTCCTATTTCTCCACATCCTGTCCAACATTTGCTATTACTCGTCCTATTGATTATAGCCATTCTAACAGGTGTGAAATAGTATCTCATCATGGTTTTGATTTTTATTTCCCTAATAGCTAGCAACGTTGAGCATCTTTTCATATATTTGTTGGCCATTTGTATGTCCTCTAGGGAAAAGTGTCTGTTCGGGTCCTCTGCTTATTTTTTGATTGGATTGTTTTGTTGTTATTGAGTTGTATGAGTTCTTTGTATATTTTGGATATTAGGCCCTTATTGGAGGTGTTGCTTGCAAATATATTTTCCCATTCGGATTGTTGTCTCTTCACCTTGTTGACAGTTTCTTTTGCTGAGCAGAAGGTTTTTAGTTTGGTGTAATCCCATTTATTTATTTTTAGGCTTTAATTTTGGTGACTCCGTAAAAGGAAGCTGACAGAGCATGCTGCTTTTTTTCAAATTCAAGTAATCATAAAAAACTTGTTTGTTTTTAAAGCAGTAACCCAGTGGTCTGAGGAACATATTTGGGTGAATGAGAAAGAAGTAAGAGGCTCTTTCTCATTAAACCTTTTTTTAGAAATGACCACTCACTTTCCCAAATGTTCACAGTGACTGGTGGTACATTTTGGTTGCCTGATGGTGACTGTTTCCTTATGGCTGCCTTGCAAGAGATCCTTGGCAGCCCCTGGGTGGAAATGGATTTTTTGTGGGGCCCTCGAGTTCTGGCTGGTGAGGCTAGAGTGATATGGTAGGGTAGACTGACCAACCCATGCCATGCTGGAGGACAGCCTCTGGTGTTCATGGCTACAGGGCTCTAGTTTTAGACATATCAGAACTGGACTGAGGTTGTATTTTTCTGAATCCTAAATTGGGACATGCAGTCTGCATGTTCAGGGGCACCTTGGGGGGACAGTTGACAGACCTGTTGTGTCCAGATTAGCAGGTTGTATAATGCATGCACAATTTACATTGTAGACATGGTATATCTAATTTTCATGTAGTAAGAGTGGCCAATTCCCAAAACATGAGTATTTCGTGACATTCTCCGGCAGGAGTCAAGTGCCTTGAAGAAGAGGTACCTTTTTCTAGTTGGTATAAAGGTGACATATGGGGTACAGGTGGTCCTGAATGGGAAGGAGAAGACATCAACGTAGTTTCTTGGAATGTCAGATCAGAAGTGGCCTTTGAGAGAGGATTAGATTTGTTAGGAATCTTGCTTACAAATAATAGAAACCCAAATCCAACTGGCTAAAGTCTAAAGAATTAATCATTAGAACTCAAGAACAGGGATGCATCTAGGACTGAGGCACATATTGGATCCAGGGATTCCTGCACAGTCAGGACCTAGCTCTGTCTCTGCTTTCTCACTTCTGCTCCTCTCAATGCATCTGGGACCAGTTTATTTCCTTTCCTGGTCTACATAGAACATAACATGGTGGCAGACAACTCCTGGGTGTCACATATTAGAGATTCATCGGCAGAGACTGGCCTCTTCTAGGTTCCAGTGTCAAAAATCCTGGGGAGACTTACTGGGCACAGCCTTTAACAGATCAAACGGCTAGTGTGCGTGCGTGCGCACGTTCGTGTACGTGTGCGACACTGACCTTAGCAACAGACTGGATGTTGGGGGTGGAGTGGGCAGGAGGTAACGGTCATACATCCTACAGAGGGTTTCTGGGACAACCACTGACCACCAAGAGTTGTCTTTCTTGTAATAACAGTTGCCACTTTTTTTGAGCAGTTACTATGTATCAGATACTGTGCTAGGTTCCTGCTCTTATTTTTTAGGACAACCCTATGAGATTGGTACAATTTTCTCTACAGGTTAGGACATTTAGGCTTAAAGAAGCTATTGCCTTTTCCTAAGTATTCTGTGCACAAATTCCTATTAGTTAAATGCCTAATAAAGTGCTAAGTTAATAATTAACGAAAGCTCTTTTTAGACCTGCTGGGCTGAAACACCGCACGAGTGACGGTCCCACTAGGTGACGTCACGACCGAGCCTACCACTATATTCTCTCTCTAAAAGCCACGGCCGATACATCGCGAGGGCCGTTTTCTTCCAACCTGTCTGGACATGCGCGCGGCGTAGTGCGCTTCGGCTAGAGCGGTTTGATGGTTTTCTGTCCGTTTTCCTACAACACAGCTTTAACAACAAGGCACTTATTTTTAGTTCAGCCACCCGAGTTCTCGCGATATTTGCGACTCTGCTCCCCGCCCACCGCCTTGCGCCTGCGCAGATCTTCACAAAGCAGAAGGTCGTGACTGGAGGAAGTGCCTGCTCTCGGTCCCGTGGCCCTAGCGTCGTTACTACTTCTGCGAACCTCCTCTCGGCCGCTTGCCGAGACACTCCGCCGCCAAGATGCCTCGAATTATGATTAAGGGGGGCGTGTGGAGGAATACCGAGGTAAGTCCCGTTTTCCCGCCGTCCGCTGCCCTTCGTCCCCTCCGGCAGCCTTTGCGCACGCGCGGGGAGGTCGGTGAGGCCAGGAGGATGCCCTGCAGGGTCTGCGGGGCGGTGGTGGGGATCGGGCAACGCGGGGCAGACCCTCTGGGCCTTTACCTAGTGCTTGACCCTCCGTTATCTGAGCATCTCAAAGACAGGGACCGTCATTTCACCATCTGACTACCTGCCGGGCACTTGTTAGGCCCCCGGTGGATATTTGTTGAATTGAGGACGCGCCTCGCTTCCTGGAGGAACTCAGAGTATGGAGGGGGAGATAGGACATCGACGAGAGTTGGTTTCATGGTGTACCCGGGCACCGTGCCTCTCCTTGATAACTCAAAAATAAAGAAGTGCTGTGGTCACAACTTTGTTTCTTCACTGACTTCCATGCAAAGGGAAAGCAGCTTAAATGCCAGATTCGAATTGCCCATTTATGCCCGCATACCGCTGGTTATCTGTTATCAAGGCATAACTTGTTTGTCCTCCTGAAAGATCCCAAGGCCTGTCTCTTCCTGTCACTCCTCCTCAGCCTGGATAGAAGCCAGATGGGATAAACTGACTACAGCAATTTCTTTGCTTCCAGAAATGTAGCGGGTAATGCCAATGGTGAGCCGAAGAGCAATAGAGAGGGAGTAAAATAGAAATAACGTATTAGTGCAGTTTGTGTTTAGAGTGCACTGAGCTTGTCAGTTTCTGGAGCACATATCTTTTCGTGATCTGTGTCTTTTTATATCTCGTGCTATCTTTAAATATTCTCCTACTGCTTGGCATCTTTCACCCTCCTTCAAAACTCAGTTCAGGAGCTCTTCCTGGAAATTTTGCCCATTCATCCTGTAAAAATTAGTTGCAGCCCCCATTGCACTTATGGCTCCTATTTCATTCATTTGTTATTGCTTGCTTTGTCTTTTTGCAAGCATCGTATCCTTTTATGTGATGCTGGATAAGTTGCTTAACCTCTCAGGACTTCATTTTCTTTTTCATTTTTCTAATGGGGATGATAATACCTACTTCTCCAGGATTAAACGAGTAGATATATTTGGAATATTTAGAACAGAGTCTGACACACAGTAGGCTTTAAGTAAATGCTAGTTGCTATTTCTTTCCCCCAACAGACAGCACTGCAAGAGAACCAGATCTTTGTATCCTTAGAACTTAGGCCAGTAACCAACGTGAAATAGGTTGCTTGGCAAATGTTTGTAGAATGAATCTAGTAGGGTAGATAACTGCTATTATACACACAGTTGAAGATGTGTTTAAGTATAGTAGTACTGCAACAAAGTTACAAATAAAGTCAGGAATAACCTTGCCTCACAGCTTACAGAGGGAACCAAGCTATTTAAATTGGAGAAGAGATAGTTTCTGGGGGAGAGACAGATGTACAAAATCAAGTAACAGCAGGATTCTTCTGCAGTGGCCAAAGCCCTGCAGTCTTTTTTTTTTTTTTTTTTTAAATCTTCTCCTGCAGTCTTTTTTTTAATCTCTGATGAGGGGAAGGTGGAGTGGAGTGGAGTAGCTCATATACGAGGCATATAGCTCAAGTTTAATGTGGAAAAAATTCTAAAAGCAGAATGCCCCAAGTGCATTCATCTTTGGCTCTGTTATTCCTGGTGTCTGGCTTAGCTTGCTGGCCTCCTCTGGGATTCAGATTGGTTAATTACATATCAGAATGGGTGCTGTGGTGAAATAGTATTTAGAGAGAGCTGATTGGTGAGGTGGGAGAGAAATACTTAATTCTTAGATTAGACCTGAGATGTGTTTTCTTGGGTCAGAGAGGGGGTTATGGGACTGGGGAGAGAATGCCATTTGTAAATTGGAGGCAGGAAGCCTAGATTGGAGATTAGAGTCATTAGAGTCTTGACTTGCTTCTTGAGGGTTGGATTTGTCCTATTCACTTCAAGACCTTGTACAAGGTAGGTGTTCAGGAAATGTTTTTTGAATGAATTAGTGAATGAGCTGGACACATTGGAGAATACTTTTTGTTGGTCTCTATCAAGTATGGATTCTCAGATTGGGTTGTACTCATCCCAATTTATTGGGGGAGGAGAGTTGTGCGTAAGGGAGGGTAAGGTGTCCTTATAAGAGATATTTTCTTAATTTCTTACATTTTGCTGATTCTGGCTTGCTGTTACGATAGTAAATGAGGTTTTTGTACTTTTTTTTTTTAAACCTAGGAAACGTGTGTGTCTTTCTCGCCAGCTACCTTGTCAGAGTTAATTTAAATTTTTTCACTTGTAGTTTTGTGATTAAATATACTGTTTTTCTTCGACAATTTTTTTTTTAGGATGAAATTCTGAAAGCAGCGGTAATGAAATATGGGAAAAACCAGTGGTCTAGGATTGCCTCACTGCTGCACAGAAAATCAGCAAAGCAGTGCAAAGCCAGATGGTATGTGCCAGTTAAAGAGTGGAAAGCAGAAACCGACCTTCATTATGATGATGAAAATGTCAGTTCTTTGAACCTTACCCAAGAAAGCAGGCATTGTGATATAATAGAAAGGATGGAGTGAGAGATGAGAATTTAGATTTAAGACTTAGCTGTCACTTGCTTCCTATGTGATTTTGGGCAAGCTCTTTTTCTGCCTGTTTCCTCCCAATTGGAATAATAATATTTGGCCCTAACTGATGGAGATACAAGGCTCAAGTGAGTTAATGTGTTTGAGAGTGCTTTGTGAAGCATAAAATAAATCTGCTTTTAGGTACGGATGAATTCCAGTTTATAAATAGATTGTGTTCCAGAAAGTTTAAAAGTTGGTTAGAACTTACTTTCCCAAAGAAATAAATGATAAATGGTAATTAATTTTCTAGGCTAGTTCACAGTGAGTTTCTTCATAATATAATCGAAATAATATACATTTGCTGCCCTAAAATATAATATAACTCAACACTACACCTGGGGTGTCTCCTTTGAAGTCACAGGGTAGTGGACATGTTAAACTTTTTACATGTGTTTGTGGCATGAGTGATCTGGCCTCTACCCTGACCCATGTACCAGGATCACATTTTGAATTCTACAGTTGAGTGACCTAATTTTCTAGGCACCTGGTTAGGGGAAAGGATCAGAATGTAGTGATTGGACTCCAAAGAGGAAGATGGTCCTCAGCATGAAGAAGTGGTTTTGATTTCTGCCCTAATGTTTGGTAATGCTTATTTATATCTCATTTGCCAGCTTCTCATCCAGCTAAATAGATTGGGTGGAAAAGGTGAGTTGGGTGGGGCATTAGACAGATAATGGCAGTAATTTTAAGTTTAAAAACACATCAAACAAATTCACGAATATTCTGATGTAAAAACACAGCTTTCGTAATTGAAGGATGAGAATTTCCTTGTGTTTTTCAGACACTAGAATTCTGTGTCTAATGTATAAATAAGATATTCATGTTGGATGACTGATTAATGTATAAAATTGTATTTTTTAAAATAGGTATGAGTGGCTGGATCCAAGCATTAAGAAAACGGAATGGTCCAGAGAAGAAGAGGAAAAACTCCTGCACTTGGCCAAGTTGATGCCAACACAGTGGAGGACCATCGCTCCAATCATTGGAAGAACGGCTGCCCAGTGCTTGGAGCACTATGAATTTCTTCTGTAAGTGAATCTCCAAAAGCAGTATTAAAATGTGTGCATATCTTCTGAATGAGGCTGAATAAACTTTAGCATTTTCTATCTTTAAACATTTAGTTACAGACCTGAGTAAAGCTAACTAAGTTAAAGCTATTGGATTATATATTCCAAATTTCATGTGGTTGATCAAAATTGTTTTTTATTATGTACTTTTAAGAAAATAATTTAGGACTATTAAACAAATCATAGAAAACCTGGGAAAAAATAGTAAAACAAATAAAAATCACCCATAATCACCTTGTTGAGAGTTAACCAATGGAAGATTTTGGTTCTTCAGTAATAGTGGTTGTTGTTTGTTGCTGTTTTTTTTTTGGTATGGCTGCTCTGCATTTATGATAAAGTGGCTGCTTGGATCCTCTTTTTAGTGAATGGAAATGCGGAAATTAGAAGTAATTTAGATACCATCTCTTTCAGGTGAAGCAATAGTAGAAATGCTCTATTTTGTCAGTGCCCATCATTGGGTTTTTGAAAGAAAGTGCCAGTGCTAGGAAACATGGTATTTCTAAGACTAAATGGTATGATGGTATGACTAACTCAATTGGACTCTTCTAGGGATAAAGCTGCCCAAAGAGACAATGAAGAGGAAACAACAGATGATCCACGAAAACTTAAACCTGGAGAAATAGATCCAAATCCAGAAACAAAACCAGCACGGCCTGATCCAATTGATATGGACGAGGGTAAGTGTATGCTTGTGAAGACCTTATTTCTTTCTTTGGTAACCATATACTCCTCAGGTTTCTTTTGAACTCTTTTAGTTTCTTTCTAAACTCTGACTTTTTAGAATCCCAGTTTAATCTGTACTTGTATTTTAAGTCTCTAAATGTGTCCAGTTTTCTATTATAGAGTAATTGCTGTTTTTGGACGGTATTTCTTTATCTTCTAATTTTTCAATTCATTTAAAAAGTAGTGTAATACTAATGGACAGATTTTCTGGAGGCTAGAGGTAAGCACTTGAAGATCCTTTATTCTCATTTCCATTCTGTGGAGAGGGCCAAGAAGTTAAGATATTGGTCCTTAATCCTATTTACTTCTTTGACTTTAGGCAGATAATTTAATTTTTGAAAAAACAGCACTGTGATGGAGACTTATGATGACTCCTTAAGACATTGAATCAAGAATCAGAAGAACTAGGTTTTAGACTCATTTTAGACTCAGCCACTTATTAGCTGTTTGACCTTAGGCAAGTCATATAATCTGTCTGAGCTTTGATTCCATTTCCTGCCAGATGGAGAATAATATCTGTCTTACCTTACAGGATTGTTGTGAAGCATTTAATGAATATTTGTTGAGTTTTTAACATTTAAAAGTTTGGTGGGAGTGGTTCATAAAGGCAGACATGGCTTGTCTAGCTGCATCGTTGTCACATGGGGAACTTTTAAAAAACAAGTACTATGGCCTCCCTTGAAGATAATTGAATCAGTAATTTGGGGAGTGGAGGAGTGATCCTGGAATCTGAGTATTTTAAAAGTTCTGTTGCGATTCCATTGGATAGCCGTGTATAGGAATTGGTCTAAAGCAGCGGTCCCCAACCTTTTTGCCACCAGGGACTGGTGTTCCTATAAGAATTTAATGCTTGATGGTCTGAGGTGGAGTTGAGGCGGTGATGCTAGCTCTGGGGAGCAGCTGCAAATGCAGATGAAGCTTTGCTCACTTGCCTGCCACTCTCCTGCTGTGTGGCCTGGTTCCTAACAGGCCACTGACTGGTACGGGTCTACAGCCTGGGGTTTAGGGACCCCTGGTCTAAGGCATCAGTAATGATGTTTATTCCACTTTGGGGAGCCATGGAAAATGTACTGGAGGAGAGAGATAGTTCTGAGGAAAGAAAGGTGTATATAATGAAGATTATCAATTTCCTTATAATTAGTAGTTTTGTAGTATTGCACAGTTTGTGCTGTGCCAGTTAGTAGAGGATAATGAAGGATATGATAATTATAGCCACTGTTTCATGAATATTGCTAGATGCTTTACTTACCTATTTTGCTTTACTTATCTTTTCTCAATATCCCTGTGAAGTAGGTATTGTTCTCCTTTTATAGATGATGAAACAAGCTCAGGGAGAATTAGTTATCCAGGGTCACGTAGCTAGCAAGTGTTGGGCCTGGTTTTTAACTCACATATTTCTCATTTTAAAACCCAGGCTATTTCCATTATGCTATACCATATGATGATTATGTGTGGGTTTTTCATCTTAAGCATTAGGGTATGCCTCTCACATACCTTGCTTTTGTTGGAGAACAACTTAGTTTTTCTTCTTTTTATTTTTGCAGATGAACTTGAGATGCTTTCTGAAGCTAGAGCCCGCCTGGCTAATACTCAGGGAAAGAAGGCCAAAAGGAAAGCAAGAGAGAAACAGTTGGAAGAAGCAAGGTATGGTTGTTTCCATCTGTAGTTGATCAATTAGTCTTTGCATCCTTTGGCTCAGTAAAACTGCATGATTTATCCAACCCTGTTGGGTGAGTAATAATTAGAATACTCAATTCCAATTTTGCTAATATTATTTAGTTTCTTTATTACTTTGGAAAAGTGTTATTTTTCCCCCTAACCATTTCAGAATATAGAAAAAAATAACATTAAAAAATTTTTTTGGTACAGTATGGCAGAAGTTCATTCAGTATGTTGGATTTTTCTGTTAGCATGGGAGAGCTACATTTGTTGTAGCCATCTTGGAGTCAGCTGGCTAGAGGACATATAAAGCTGTGTGACTTTTGCATGATTGCCAGTTAGTTACTCTCTTTGATTAGTGTAGGGCAGGCACTGGCTTAAAATAGGAAACTTGACAACACAGAAGGAGTTAATGAACCTTAAATTAAATTTTAGGCTCTCACAGAAATTTTTATTTAAAAAGTGTGAGAATTAAGTATTGCCCTTTATTCCAGGTTTTTTCCACTTTCCCCTCCTTTCTCTCTTTTGGTTAGAGCTGTGATTGACATCATTACTAATGGCCCAAAACCTAAGAGGAAGTGTATAAAGGTATAACTTGAATTGTATAAGAGCTTATTAGCTTTTAGAATCAGACCTGCATGGCTGTTTTTTGTGGTCTTCAAACCAGGAGGTGCTTACCGACCTAATGACTAGCGTTGTCTTGATGGTTTCCCCAATAATGACTTTGAAGTGCCAGATCCTGGAAAGGAGGATTCTTTCATGCCTAAGGATGTTTGGCACTAGCCCAGAATAGTAACTTAGGATGGGAGTATGACTGGCTTGGGACAGTAAACAGAAACCAGGAGGAGTTACTAAATTTCTTGCCCAGTCTCAGCCACCTTTCTGTTCTGTACACTAGTTAGGGTTAAATAATGTAAGGTTGAAAAAAATTCACTTTTCTATTTTTGTCCATGGTTGGTTGTGAACCAAAATATTTTGAGCCTTTCAGCCATGTGGATTGGGCCTGGGATGTGGCAAGCGTGCATATATGAAAAATCTATGGCTGCCGTTGCTTGCCTTAAATAAATTTTTTGAGGTTTAAATTTACACTACACTTCCTTGTAGATTTTCTTGAAGTGTCTACACATTTTTATAACTTATGTTTTACATATATCTAGTAATAGACTCGATTGGTCTGTATGCAAAATGCAGTGCAGGTCTTTTTAAATGCTAAATTACAGATCTGTTTTACAACTTAAAACTTTTTATTAATTATAAAAATAATATAATTTTCTTTCAGTATTGTTCAGTTTTATTTTTTGGGCATGGTTATATTCGCTTAGTAGTATATTGCAAATGTTTTCTATTGTTATTTACAGTCTTTAAGTCCTTTATGTAAAGAATGAGGTTTCTTTAATTTTTGGAATGTCCTTCCAAACCTTTCTTTTTCAGTAGAGATGTACATTTATGTGTATGTACACAGAAAATAACATTTATGTAAGATTCGATCATACTGTATGTTTATACTATTTTGATGAGAGGTCTGCTGTTAATCTTATTGAGGTTCCTTGTAAGTAATGAATCATTTTTCTTTTGCTGCTTTCAAGATTTTCTCCCTGTCTTTGGCTTTCAGCATCGTTAACTTGATGTTTCTGTTCGTAGATTTCTTTAAATTTTTCTTCCTTGGAGTTTTGAGCTTTCTGGATGTGTAGATTAACGGTATTTTCAATAAGCTTAGGAAATTTTCAGCCATTATTTTTTGAAATATTTTATTTTGTTCCCTTTTTTCTTTCCTCTCCTTTTGTGCATATGTTGGTGCACTTACTGGTGTCTCACATTTCTATGAGGCTCTGTTCATATTTCTTCTTATTTTCCTCTGTTCTTCAGATTGCGTAACCTTTATCCATCTGTCTTCAAGTTCGCTAATTCTTCTGTCAGTTTGAATCTACCGTTGAGCCTCTCTAATGAAATTTTCATTTCAGCTTTATATTTTTTTAACTCCAGTACTTCTATTTGGTTCTTTTTAATCATTTCTATCTCTTTACTGATATTTTCTATTTGATGCAACATTGTCATCATACTTTACTCCTTTAATCATGGTTTCCTTTTGTTCTTTGAACATATTTCTAATGGCTTCTTTGAAGTCTGTCTGTTAAATATGACATCTGGTAGCTCTCACAGTTTCTGTTGCCTGCTTTTTTTCTTGGTACATGGGTCATGCTCTCTTGTTTCTTCGCATGCCTCATAATTTTTTATTGAGAACTGTAGAACTTAGAAGATATATTTTAGCAGTTCTGGGTACTAGTCTTCTCCCCACCCCTTTTTGTTAGTGTTATTTCCTTGTTTATTTGCTTAGTGACTGGCTGGATTATTTAGTGATGTCTGTTCTCCCTTACCTCCCTTCAGAAATGTGAAGCTTCCCATCTTCTCATGAGAGTGCAGTCTTGGGTTTGCCCACAGTTACCCTGGATGACTCGGTTTTGACAGGACTTTGACATCTTTTTCTCTGGCTACACACAGTTGTTAAACTCTTCTAATTGCCTACTAATTGCTTTATTGTTTTCAGCAGTGTCCTGGGGCATAAATTTCTCCACAAACTGATTCAGTCAGATTTGGGCTCCTTTGAAGGGACAGTTTCAGATGTCAGTGTTCGATATTTGTTCTGACTCCAGGGGGACTCCTCCCACCTGTCTCTTTCTGTGTTTCTTTCTGGCGCACTAGTGGACTTACAGCTTAGCCTGTATCTGCAATGAATTTTTCAGTTTCTTCCCAGTTGCATTTAACTACAACTTCCACCGTTTTTGAGAGTGAGCCTGGGCTTGAACTTATTCATGATGTGTTCCAAATGAAGTTAGTGTCTTTGGGGAGAGATTTGGAGTTCTCTGTTTTACTACTGCACTCTGATGTGCTTGTCTGTGAGTGACACCCACACATTAGGAGCTAAGTGCTTGGTGGTGGTGGGGGGGTGGGTAGCAGCCCTAGCTCTCTTTGGCCTACCTCTCCCAGCATGGAATCCTCATCCCCCAATCACGGGCAAGGGCTGTTGAGGTTCCATTATGTTTAGCAGCGTTGTGCACAAGATAGAGCCTCTGGGCAGATGAAGGCAGCCACTACTTCTCTGCTGCCCTAGATCAAACTAGATTCTCCAATAGGTCTCTATCTGGAGGCAGGATTAAAAAGTGTTGGTATCTTGCCCTTCCTGGAATGAAAGCCCACTTGGGAGTTGGAGGGGAGCCAGAATCCTGTGTTCTTGGTTGAGGCACCTGTGTGGAGTAGAATTTTAACCTCCCTGAGCTGAGAGGGAGGAAAAGAAAAAGGAGTGGATCTAGATTCAGATATCACAGACTCTCACTTTTCTTACCAAGTTTTAGATTTTCTTGAATAAATGCTGTTTCATTTGCTTTATGCCCTTAGGATCCTTTTCAGAGACTTAAAATTATTAAAAAAAATTTTTTTACTAGTTTTCATCAGTTTTCCTGGGAAATGGGTCTGCAGAGCCTCAAGCTGGAAGTTGCTTCTGTGTACTGTTTTGTAAATTTACTTCCCCCCCTTGAATATTGTGAATAACTTTTATAATCATTAAGTATTTAAAACGATAGCATCATGGGAAAGTACAAAGAAAAAAGTAAAAAGTAAACGAAATTTCAACTTTCAGTGATTATCACTGTTAATATTTTGGTGGACATCCTTCACATATCCCCACATATTCACTGATAAATATGCATATAGTATTTACATGCTGCTCTGTAACATGTAAACTTCATAACAATACACAGTGTGTCTTGGGCATATAAGTTTTTTAAAGGTTATATGAAGGCTTATAATAACCTATCTTATAACTATGTTATAAATTCACTTAACTAATTTCTTATTGTTGAATGTTTAGATTATGTCTAGTTATCCACTCTTATGAGTAGTGCCAAGGGAATAGTCTTGTAGCTAAGTCCTTATTCATGTTCTTAATTATTTCCTTAGGCTAAAGACTGAGGAGGAAGTTGCTGGGTTTAAAAATGTGAAAAACTTTAGTATTTTAATGTATATTTCTAAATTGTCTCTGGAGACAGCTACACCAGTTTACTTTCTTATTACCAGTGTGGGAGAGTGTCTACTTTTTGTACCCTTGCCATTAAAACAAAACAAAAAGCTTAATGTTATTAATTAGATATACAAAAATGGTACTTGTTGATTTAATTTGTGATTTTTAAATTATTAAAATTTGTCATTTTAGCAATTCATATTTTTTTCCTCAGTGAACTGTTTATTTCCTCTTGTTCTTTTTTCCCTTGGTTATATTTTTAAAGAACTTGCATAGATTCTTTATATCTAACCATTCCTAATATTAATTGCAAGTATTTTTTCTCATTTGCTTTATTAATTTTGTTTTATGATTTTTTAAAGAGTGCTACAGAGATATAAAATTTAAATTTCAAAGCCATTGATATTTTTCTTTATTCTTTATTTAATTTATAGTTAGTGAATACATTCTCATCCAGAGATAAAATAACATATAGTTCCTTGTGGGTTTTTTTGTTTTAGTGTGTCTGTATGTGCACATGTGATTACATATGTACCTTTAAATCGAAACTGAACTATATATTGGTGAATGGTATGAGGTGAAGATTTATTTCTTTCTCAAATAACCAATGAGTTTTCTTAACTCTATTGGATAATCCATCCCTTCCCCATGGCACTTGATTTTTGAGATGATCTTATGTTCTTTTTCTTCAGGCGTCTTGCTGCCCTCCAAAAGAGAAGAGAACTTCGAGCAGCTGGTATAGAAATTCAGAAGAAGAGAAAAAAGAAGAGAGGAGTTGATTATAATGCTGAAATCCCATTTGAAAAAAAGCCTGCTCTTGGTTTCTATGATACTTCTGAGGAAAACTACCAGGCTCTTGATGCAGATTTCAGGAAGTTAAGACAGCAGGATCTTGATGGAGAGCTAAGATCGTAAGTTGCTTTTCTGATTTTGAAAACGGAAAGGTATAGTTGGAATTTTATGGAGGGCCAAGTATCATTGTCAGCCGGATTTTT